CGTTATCTCCCACCTTTCCATCAAGACATTCTAGATTTGAGAGGAAAGTTTAAACTCTTAGATCTAAGTGGCTGTTTCTGCCTGGATGGGTAGTAAGTCCGTTAATAATTTGTTTCATCTTCTGTTAAAGTATTTCTCATTTTGTCACCACAAATTCACTGCCAATATGGTTTCCTCAGAGTCCTCCTAAAATTAATCTCTAGGCAAGTTTCAACTCTCTCTCTTTTTCAAACCAAAATTTATTAGTCCCAAAGCTAAAGAGCACCTTGTCTCAACACATAAACTGGAAGAACAACAAACTAAAAAAAAAAAAAAAAAAAAAACAAAAACTCTTCTTGGCATTTTCCATTATTACCTAATTTTCAAGTGACCTGCATATTTCTAATGGCTCTCCTTTTCCCTCCCCATTTTTCCCTCTTAAGCCTTGCCACTGCGAGATGATACATCAGGTTTTTAGAAAATTGTCAGCAGCAGCAAGATGTCCATTTATTCTAAGTTGCTTTAGTTTTGTTTGAGCTTCAAGATAAAGCCTATTTTCAGGGCATATTTTCTTTCCTGTGTTGCTTTACATTAATTAGGAAAAAAAAAAAAAAAAAACCCTGCATTTGAAACAAATTGAAAAGGTTTTACCTTTAAGAAATTCACAAATATTTTCTAAAGTGTATTTTAAAAAGTTGTGCCCTTTAATGCTTCTTTCAAAGTATCACTATTTAAAATACAATTTTAAACAATTAAGTTATTTCAAAATAACTTAATTTGCTTACATTCAGCAAGTGATTGAGCTTCCAAATATAAAAAATTGACCCTTACCTATGTCAAGGTTAAAACAAACATTTTGAAAAGAAAGTCGATTATCTACACCTTGTCCATTGCTCCAATATTTGCATCATGAGAAAGCAGTTTTTCTGCCAGTAACGTACTTTCATTATACCCAGCATAATGGAGACCAGTGATACCACAGATATCTTTAAGATTTGGTGTGGTGCCATGTTTCAGCAGAATGATAGCACAAGTCTCTTCCTGGTAACGTACAGCCTGTCCATATTAGATCAAGAAATAGACTGTAAATTCTAAGAATTCAAAATATACATTCCACAGGTTTCACCTAGTTTCATTTAAATAAGATACATTTATTTTAATTATATACATATATAAATTAAAATCCATGTAATGCTGAAAGAGTTGGCTACTATGTGCTTGTATCAAAGGTGTGTGCCACTTTGTTTGTCAGAAATGTCAACCTGGTATTTTCTGTTCACCAGGAGAGTGACCACTTCCACACAGCCACCGGCACAGGCCAAATGTAGAGCAGTTCTATGAGAGTAAGAGGACCTTTCAGGAAACTGTAGTGCAATATCTCAAAACATACAGTCATTCACGTAACTGTAAACATTGAATAGCATGTTTTCCTCTTCCTTATTTTTCTTGAAGAAAGTACAATACTTATTAGCTCTTATTGCTCACTACCTTAATGAAAACAGCAGCAGTTCTTTCTATTTAAATAGAAAGAACTCAGTCTTTGGATTCAGTTCAACTAGGGTTTTAGTCCTACTTTAAACTCTGTCATTTACCAGCTATTACTTAGCCTTTCAGTGCCTCAACTTCCTCATTAGTAAAAACAACAATAGCTATCTCATAGGACATCATGATGCTTAAATGAGAAACTATGTAAAGTATTTAAAACAGTTCCTACAGCAACAACTAAAAATTGTTAGATTTTTGTTTTTTGAGACAAGGTTTCACTCTTTTGCCCAGGCTGAAGTGCAAGGGTGTAATCATACCTCACTGTAGCATGGAACTCCTGGGCTCAAACGATCCTCCATACACAGCCTCCTGAGTAGCTGGGACTACAGATGTGCACAAACATGCCCAGCTACTAATTTAAAATTTTATGTAGAGTAAGAATCTCATTTTGTTATTCAGGCTGGTCTCAAACTCCTGGCATTAAGCGATCCTCCCACCTCAGCCTCCCAGAGTTCTGGGATTATTTCTATTACTACTATTTAACAAAAAAGTTTTAATTAAGTAAAATAATACAATTATACCTACTTTGTAGGATGACTTAAAGACTAGGTCACATTTTAACACCTCTGATATTGGAATGCCACTTATAATTCGTGATTTATTACAACTATAATTGGTAGCACTTTAAAAATTATTTTATTAATATATATAATAATGGGGCATCATACAATCCATGAGCCATTTCATTAAGTAGCATATGGTATACTCAGGAGAGCTAGGGCAGTTCTAGGGATATAACTGGCACTTAAATACATTTCAGTTCTTAAAGGTACTATGGGGAAAGAACACTGAAATAACAATAACACATTTTTTAAACAAATTACTTCTTTGATTTTCAAACAACTTGAAGCCGAAGGAAACTCATGATTCAAATGGATAGGTATGGATTATTTTATTCAATACTTATATTTAGAGAATTTATGCAAATCAGACTTTCCAATGATTAATATGAGTTTAAGACTGATAAACTTTAGAAAGGGCAGTTAAAGGTTATCTTCTACTATTTTCTAACTTCAGAAATTCTTTTCTTTGAAAGATGGGAGATAAAGTTTAAATGAGATTAAGTCCTAATATCCCCATTTCAAATCTCTCAGCTTGTGCAGACAGGGTAGGTAAACATAAAGTTTTTAAGGATGGGAGGGTCCTGAGAGATAGCAGAATATGTCTGCTACATAATAGGCACTCAAGTTATGTTCGATGAATAAATTGAATGAAAGAATGGATAAATACAGATAGGGAGTTCAATGCTTTTAAATAAACTCCTATAAAGCAGTATTTTTGCAATAGTAATCATTTATATTTGTTATTTTTATTTTCAAAGAATACAAGTAAAATGAAACGATTACTCTATCATTGTTTGCATATATGAGATACAGCTACATGTAAGAAAAATCTATGTACATAATAAAATATATACATAAAATCTGGAGAGAGATAAAAACATTCCCTTTTTATTTCTGAAAAGGCTAAAAGTTCAAAGATAACACACAATAATAATAATGATAAAAATAGAAAGTGAGAGATTATTTTTATCTTGGCAAGATTCATATTCCTCTTCCCAAGAATTATGCCATTAATGATAAACTTTAATAGAAGTGTTGTATATGCTCACTGCAGCAATCACAGATAAGAAAAACTTCACTTAAAATGCAAATGCCCAGAAATTAGAAATGTTATCATATTTTGTACACATCTATTGTTAACACAAGACCATAGTATGTTTGTGTGTATGTATAATCAAACTGATTCTTTTTTCCTTGCTGACTATAACAAAATGTATCTTTGCACATCAACATACTCCTCTATCTATTGTCACATTCAATGGTCACATATTATTCCATCCTATGGCTGCAACAGATATTTATTTATAGAATTCATTCTATCTGTTCATTTGAAATTAAGTGCTGCCAAAAACAAAGTGCAAGCATTTCTACTTCCTAAGGGTATTTTATATAATGGAATTGATGGGTAACAAGTATACATATTTTTTAAATGTAGTACTTACCACCAAATTGTCTATTTAAAAAGTAATCAGCAACTTAAACTTTAAGCAGCAGTACAAAACAGCCTCACACACATTGTGAAGAGAAAGCAGTTTCATTCCTCTTTCAATTTAAATTCTTATACCAGAAAAGCAAGGATTTTTTCCTATGTACATAAGTAACTTGTAAATCTGCAAAAACATTCTTTGCCCACTTTTATTAGTTTTTATTTGATTGGAAATAAGTCCCTATAAAGTGAAGATGCACTTTTCATCTAATATGTATATATGTAACTTTTCATCTAATTTGTATATATAACTGATATACATACAACATTATATATGTCATATATATGCTATACATACCAGTACTATACATATGATATGATATATAATGAATTCCCTGTAAAATAAAAACATAATTCTCATCTGAATATATATATAATATAGTAAGTACTTTTCAAGCATGTTTTCTTTACTTATTTTTTTCTGATACATAGACAGTTTTAATTTTTAGTTTGCTAAATCAACCTTCAGAATGCCTGCCTCTGAGGTCATTCTTAGGAAGGCCTTTGTCAACATAAAATATACCTGTAAAATAAGCATTTGTTTTCTTCTGATACTTTTTCTCACTTGCATATGTAAAAGTTTCAATCTGTATTCCGTCAGGCACTCATGTTTGTGATATAAAATTTTAGTTTTCTTCAAAGAGCAGGCATTTTTTTATTAATAATTCATTCTTTCCTATTCATACCTGTTAACATTATCAATCCTTACATTATCTCTTATATCATTTCAGTGTTTCTGGATTTCCTATTCTGTTCCATGCATTTATCTGTATTTTCAGTTGTTAGTAAACAATTAATTATAGAAATTAACAGTATATTTTAATATCTAGAGAAGCCAGTATTTTTTCAGTCCATTATAAAATTATTTAAAATGTCATCACAATAGTAAAAGACAGCAGGTGTCGTGCAAAAATGTTAAAACCTTGATATTTTCATTTGGCTTATGTAAAATTGATAAACACAGAAAGAACTCACATTTTGAGAAAAATGTGTCTTCTCATTCAAGAACACAAAACCCACCTCCCACTTCCAAGTTTCCCTCTAAGACCCTTCAGTAAAGAACCGATCTACACAGGTGGCTATCGATGTAAAACGGGCAGTTTTATCTGAGAAATTTTCGCCTACTGAAAATAACTCCCGGTATTTTTGATAGGGGAATGAGTTCTCTCAGTAGGGGCCTCCTGTAATGTATAAAACACCATGTTTTAAATTTGAATTTTAAAAATAACAACACTGTACATGCCTAACTTAGTGAGTTAAATCACTCACATTCTCCACCAAGTGCTCCAGCCAGGAAATTACGAGGGATAAAGCAGCTGAGGCTCATTCGGCTCCGCTGCTCCAAGGGGCCCGGCGCCCTCCAAGGCCCGGTCCCGGGGGGAAGCCAGGCCTAGGGAACCCTCCCACCCAGGGCTGAGCCCCGCTACCTGTGTGGCTTGTCCCGGGCGTCCAGGTCTCCGCTCCTGCGCGCCAGGCAGTTCAACCTCTGCGGCGTCGCCCCTGACAGCTGCCTTGTGGAGCTTCCGGTTCCACATCCTGGATTCGGTGCCCGGAAGCAGCGTAAAGGGGTCTATGGAGCCCAGGACCTGAGGTTCTGCTCTGTCTTGGCCTCTGGCTCCCGAGGCCGAGGAACTTCTTCATAGTGGTGACTTCTCAGATCCCCAACAACCAGCCACCCTGTGCTCCTCCCACCCCCACCTGGCGCCAACCCCCACCTGGCTCCAACCCCCAATCTGTGATCCTAAATCGGCTTTCTAGCCCAGAATCCGCGATCCAGCGTGGTCCACCACAGCCTTCAGCAGCAACACTTGCAGCCTCTAACGTCTCAGACTGAGTCGGCCCCGCAAAGCCGTTAGGCGCACGCCTGCCCCACGGCGGCCGCCCAGCTCCCGGAAGCCGCTCCCAGGCACGCGTAGGCAGATGGGACTGACGCTCGGGGCAGGCATCGCGGGGCTCCAGGTTCTCCTGGAGTGCCCCGGCTGCCGGAGGACCACGGGTGCAGGATCACAGCCGCGCATTTTATATCACAAACATGAGTTCCTGATGGAACATTATCAATCCTTACATATATCTCATATAATGTAGGAGGACGCGGATTGCACCCTGTGGCTGCCCCATGCCTCCTCAAAGGGAGATCGGGTCTGGCATGGGCACTCCGCAGCACTGGAGTGTCTTTGCAGATTGCCTGGCTTCAGCGCTGAGACTCTGGCCCCGGGATGTACCTGGCGGGTGTCAAGTAGTGGGAGACACATGGAAAGTCAGGGGTTGCTCCTTCCCCCACCGGCCCCCATTGCTACCCACGCCAGATGCACAGTTTGCAGGTGCAGCTCTGGTACTGGTACGGGATGGCAGAGCTTCCCTTGGGTGGCGTCAGGGTCGCTGAGTGCACAGGCCATCTGGCCTGAGGGTCTGCTCCTCTTGGACACCTCTCTGGATCCTGGGCCCCTGTGCAGGGCACTCTGCATCCACACCCATGAGACTGAGCGGCTGCTGGCGGGGCTGACAGCCTGACTTTGCCACCTGGGTGCTCAGCCTCAGGACTCCTGCTGCTCGGGGTGTGGGCCTGGACTGGGATGTCCAGCCACTTGCTGCTCCCATGCCACATCTAGGCTGCAGGGGTGACTCGGGCACCAGTGGTGGATGGAGAGCCGGGTACCTGATGTCCTCAGGGTCAAGTGCATTGCCTGCCCACCTAAGGGTGGGCTCTGCCTTGGCCTCCTCCAAGAGCGCATGGGCCACCAGAAATTTAAGAATGCTTAAATTGAAGGAAATATTCTTTCTCTCTTTTTGAGGAACAAGTGTTGATTTTGTTTTGTTTTGTTTTTGATACTCAGCTACTGCACAAAACAAAGGTGACGCAGAGATGAAGGTCCACAGCCAGTTCCTCTATGGATTACCTCCAGACATAAATGTTAGACATAACTGCTTTGGTTGTCACTTTCACCTCAACACTTAAATATGCCTACAGATCTGTTCAATCACAACTGTTGAATTTAGCATTATTTAATACACAATTATTTCATAATTTAATACCCAAACTATTTTTAATAGTTTACCATCTCTGCAATCCTGAATTATTTTTCTTTGTTTACAAAACAATTGCTATAGTAAGATCAAAATCACAAAACTGACATTTCATTGGGTTAAAAAAAATTAAAACATATTATACATAAAAGATGATAGAATGTATTTGTTTCATTGTAAAAATTGAGTTTGCAAAATTTTTATGTTTAGCAACATTCCTATGATTCTTTAACTTTGACCCCTCAAATCCTATGTCCTCACATTTCAAAACCAATCATGCCTTCCCAACAGTCCCACAAGTCTAATTTCAACATTAACTTAAAAGTCCACAGTCTATAGTTTCATCTGTAAAAAGGCAAGCCTCTTCCATCTATGAAGCAGTAAACTCAAAAGCAAGCTAGCTACTTCCTAGATACAATGGGGATATAGGCATTGGGAAAATAAAGGTGTTCCAAATGTGAAAAATAAAAGGGTTACAGGAACTATCCAAGACAGAAATCCAATAGGGCAGTCAAATTATAAAGTTTCAAAATAATCTCCTTTGACTTCAGGTCTCACATCCCTAACACTAACCCTAACTCTAGTCCCTAACTTTAAGACTAACCATGAACCCTAAGCCTAACCCTGCCCTAAACACTAACCCTAACATTGACTCCAACCCTGACCCTCTAACCCTAACCCCTAAACTCTAACCTTAAACATAGCCCTAACCCTAACCCTAATGCTAAGCCTTGCTGTAGGCCTAACTCTAACCCTAACTCTGGTCCTAATCCTAACCCTAACCCTCACACTAACCCTAACCCTAAGCCCTAAGCCCAACCCTAACACCTAACCCTAAACCAACCCCAACCCTATCCCCAACCATAATCCTAACTTTAACCCCTAAATTTAACCCCAAACCCTATTTCTAAACCTAACCCTAACAACCCTAACACTAACCCTAAAACTGTAATCCTTACCCTAACCACTGCCCTAAACCCTAATCCTAATTCCTACCCTAAACTGTAAACCTTAACACTAACCCTTAATCCTAATCCCTAACCCTAACCTTACTCCAATTACCCTTAACTCTAAATCTAACCTAAGCTTAACCCTCAACCATGAACCCTAATGTTACTTTTACTCACTCTAATCCTTACCTTAAGCTAAACCTACTCTAACCTGTATATAACCCTAATCCAAAATCTCACTAAAACTTTCACCCTAAATCTTCACTGTAATTCTGACCTGTCAAAATAACCATATTAGCCTAATCTCTCCCTCTAATCTCTACTATGGAGCTCTCAACCACCAACCTGAACCTCCTATCTTGGAGCCCTTGTACACTAATCTTTAACTGGTAAACTCAGCCTGTAAAGCCCTATGTCCTGATTTGTAATACCCTCACATACTAACTCTGTAAATACTAATCGCAATCTATACCCAATCCCATCCTGATCCATCCTACACAGTGTCACTCCATTTCGAGGACTGAAATCTACAGATCTATAACCTTGGAAATGCAGACTTAGTAATCCTCAACAAAATAATAGTAAATTTAAACCAACAGCATTTGGAAAGGATCAAACACCATAAACATGATTTCTTTATCCCAGAAATTCAACACTGGTTCCACACACTAATGTCATCCATGTAGCACACTGTATTATTAGAATGAAAGGAAAATACTCCATAATTCTCTCAACTGATGCAGAAAGGGCTTCCAACAAAGTTCAACATCATGTCATGATAAAAAAAACACTCACAAACCTAGAAATAGAAGGAAATTTCTTAAACATGATAAAAAGCAATTTTGTAAAACCAACAGTAAACATACTCAATTGTCATCACTGAAAGGTTTATTCCTAATAGAATAACAAGGCACGGATACCTACTTTCACTCTTGTATTCAAAAGTATATTGGAAGATACAGGTAGGGCAATTATGCAAGAAAATAAAATATTCAAGGACCAATTATCACCTGATCTTATACATAGAAATTCCTAAGGAATGTTTAAAAAATTATTAGAGATAGTAAACAAATTAGGTAAACTTACAAGCACAATACCAATACAAAAATCCATTTTATTTTATTATTATTATTATTTGAGATGGAGTTTTACTCTTGTCAACCAGGCTGGAGTAAAATGGCACAATCTTGGCTCACTGCAACCTCCATCTCCCAGTTTCAAGCAATTCTCCCACTTCAGGCTCCTGAATACCTGGGGTTACAGGCATGTGCCACCACACCCAGATAATTTTTGTATTTTTAGTAGAGATAGGTTTTGTCATGTTGCCCAGGCTGGTCTCATACTCCTGACCTCAGGTGATCTGCCTGCCTTGGCTTCCCAAAGTGCTGGGATTACAGGTGTGAGCCACCGTACCTGGCAGAAAAATCCATTTTATCTGTATATACTAGCAATTAATAATCTGAAAAGGAAATTATAAAAGTTTCACTTTAAATAAGGAATAAATGCAATTGAAGGGCAAGACTTAGATGGGAAAAATTATAAAACATTGCTTAAGAAAATTAAACAAAGCCCAAATAAATGTAAAAACCCAAATAAATGTAAAAACATGTTATATTCATGGATTTGAAGATGGTATTTGTCAAGTTTGCCAAACTACGCAAAGCAAACTACAGATTCGATGTTATTCCTACAAAAATCCCAAAGGCCTGGGGACAGAAATGGGAAAGCTAATCTTAATGTTCATATACAATTTTAATTCACCCAAACCAAATCTGGAAAAGTAACTCCAAATTTGGAAGTTGGAACATCCAAATTTCAAATCTTATTACAAAGCAACAGTAATCAAAACAGCATCATACTCGCACAAGAATAAACAGAAAGATCAATTGAATTGGATTGGGAGTCCAGTCATAAAAAAGTACCTCTATGCTCAAATGATTTTACACAAGATCCACAACCATTAAACTGGGGAAAGAATACTGTCCTCAACAAGTGATGTAAGGCAGCTTGCTATCTACATAAAGGGACATGAAATTGTATCCTTACCTCATATCACATTAACAAATTAACTTAAAATCGATCAAAGACCTAAATATGGGAAAACTAAAAACTCTAGAAGAAAACACACAGTTAAACCTTCATGAACTTAGATGTAGCAATGGTTTCACAGATCTGACAGCAAAAGCACAAACCACAAAAGGAAAAATCAGTAAGATGATTTCCTCAAAATTCAAAACTGTTATGCCTCAGAAGACATGATGAAAAAACTTGAAAGACAAACTTGTTAGAAAAGGAAAACAATTATCTTCTCCTAGTATATGCTCCACACTCAACACGGAACACTTTTGTTACCAGATGCATGGATTTTTTTCCCCACACCGAACAAATCCTGGTTACCAGCTGGGTGTCCTACAGTTCAATCCAATTCTGACACTACCAGGTGAAAGCATCAGACCCCACAGGCTAAGGACTCAGTCCTAGGGAAACGGGTCATGCAGCTTGTTGCTTGCAACACATGAGAGGATGGTAAACATGAGAATGATAATTTAAAAAGTGACCGTATTCCAGAGCTTAGCTGAAGGGAATGTATAGCCTCCTGACTTAAGGGAACAGCATCCACTTTCAGGGTAGAAAGCAGGAGCTTTGAAAGGGGTACTTGACAGAATGGCATGAAGGGGATGGAGTGAGGAAGTGCAGCGTCTATGGAACTTGCTCTGATGTTTTATCCATTAGGTGGTCTTGCTAGTGCCACCATGGGCAGAGCTAGGTTGTAAATGGACCGTTGTATCCTGGCAATCTCCTGGTAGGGGAGAATTCCGGAGGTGCCTAGTTTGTTTCAAGTTTTGGTCCCTGGAACTTATAAGTAAACACACAGTTTGAAAAAGCTTGCAGTGTAGGAAATGTCTGGTGGAGAGAAGATAAAGCCTATAATTGCATTCCTAAAAAGCTAAGTAGGAAGTGTGGGAAAAGGAAAAATGTAAAAGTAATACATTTTGTCTTTAAGAAAGTAAGGGTACTCAGTTACAAGACTGTAACCACTTCAGATGCCAATCACAAACAGTAGGTTCCCAGGTTAACTTCTGTCAAATTGGCTACAGATTGGAGGCTCCCACAACACCCTTATTTGGTTCAGCAATTTTCTTATACAGAAGAATTCCAAATACCTGATACAGACATTCAGTCATTAAGGACATACAGCTAACTCCCCACTCCTTAGGTATGGGCTCTGCGTGACTTCCTCCAAAAGAATATATACAATATGGGCCAGGTGCAGTGGCTCATGCCTGTAATCACAGCACTTTGGGAGGCTGAGGTGAGCGGATCACGAGATCAAGAGATTGAGACCATCCTGGCCAACATGGTGAAACCCCATCTCTATTAAAAATACAAAAATTAGCTGGGCTAATCAGGAGGCTAAGGCAGGAGAATTGCTTGAAACCAGAAGGCGGAGGTTGCAGTGAACTGAGATTGCGCCACTACACTCCAGCCTGGCGCCCGGCAACAGAGCAAGACTCTGTCTCAAAGAAAAAAAAAAAAGAATATATACAATATGGGCATGGGAAAAAAGTAATTTCACAGTGAGAAACCTGAAAATACTATCTCAGCCAGGTGATCAAAGTTAACATCAATGGTGATAGCACATCTTGAGAGCATGAAGTGACTAGAATAGCACTTGCAAACCAAAAGTAAAATTCAAAGGCCCTTCCCCCAATTATCTGTATAGATTCTCTCCTCTCCACCACGGGACGCCAAAGTTAACCTGGAAGACTGATTCAGGCCATGATAAGAAAGAGGTGGTCAGACATGCCTCATTGTGCCCTCCTCCCTTTTGGAATTCAGGAAAAGCCAATCAGCATTTAACATCAACATAGATCTCAAATCTGGTAAGAGACATTTACAATCTATTCTCTCTGAAGCCTACAACCTGGAGGCTTCATCTGCATGATAAAACTTTGGTCTCCATAACCCCTTATCATAACCCAGATGCTCCTTTCTATGGATAACTCTTTTAACCAATTACCAATCAGACAAATTATAAATTTACCAATAACCTGAAAGTCCATCTTCACCCTAACCCACTGAGTTGTTGCACCTTTCTAGACTGAACCAATATATATCTTAAATACATTTGATTGATATATCCTATCTCCCTAAAATTATAGAAGCAAGCAGCATCCCAGGTTCTTCTGGGGCTTCCTAGAGCTTATAAACCCTAAAGCCTAAAGCCTAAACCCTACCCCAACCCTAACCACTAAACCCTAAACCTAACCCTAACCCCTAACCCTGACCCTAACCTAATACTAAACCTAACCATGACCACAAGCACAAACAACCCTAAAACCTAAACCTAACCCTAAAACCCTAACCCTAACCCTTAACCATAAATCCTAACCTTAACCCTAAACACTAACCTAAACCCCAACTCCAACCCTAACCCAACCCAACCCTAAACCCTAACCCAAACCCTAAAACATAAGCCCTACCCCTAACCCCAAACCTAACCCAACCACAATCCAAAACCCTAAAACCTAACCCTAAACCCTTAACACTCAACCCTAACACTAAACTGTAATGCCAACCCCAACCTGAACCCTAACCTTAACCACTAAACCCACACCCTAACCCAAACCCCTAGTACCTAACCCAAACCACTAACAGCTAACCCAAAGCCCTAACTCTAAGCACTAACCCTAACCGTAACCCTAAACCCTAACTGCATCCCCAACCCTAACCCCAACCCTACCCTAACCCCAACCCTACCCCAACCCCAAACCTACCCCTACCCTAACCCTAAACCCTAACCCTAACTCCTAACCCTACCCTTACCCTAACTCTAAACCCTAACCCTAACCCCAACCCAGCCCAACCCTAACTCTAAACCCTAACCCCAACTCCAACCCTAAACCCTAAACCCTAACCCCCTACCCTAACCCTAACCCATAACCTATAACCCCTAACCCTAACGCTAAACTCTAACACATAACCCCTAATCCGTAACCCTAACCCTCACCCTAACCATGGGAGGTGGAGGTTGCAATGAGCAAAGATTCTGCTAATGCACTCCAACTTTGGCAACAGAACTACACTCTTTCAAAAAGAAAAAATACAAAAAATTAGCTAAGCATGGTAGTGGAAGCCTGTAATCTCAGCTACTTTAGGAGGCTGAGGCAAGAGACTTGTTTGAACCCAGGAGACGGAGATGGCAGTGAGCTGAGATTGCGCCACTACACTCCAGCATGTACAACAGAGCAAGACTTTGCCTTAAAAACAAAATAGAGAAACAGGTAAACACAAACTTCGCCAATAAGACATGCAAACAGACAACAAGTATATAACAAGATGATCAATATCATTACCATTATGGCCATCTACACTGAAACCACTATGGCATTCTCCTTTCATACACACTATAATCCAAAGAAATGTAAAATAACATGTGTTAGCAAGGTCTGAGAGAAATCACCATCCTTAAATACCATATGGGGAATATAAAATAGTGCAGCCTATTTTTAAAATAGTTTGGGGGCCGGGCGCGGTGGCTCAAGCCTGTAATCCCAGCACTTTGGGAGGCCGAGGCGAGTGGATCACGAGGTCAAGAGATCAAGACCATCCTGGTCAACATGGTGAAACCCCGTCTCTACTAAAAATACAAAAAATTAGCTGGGCATGGTGGCGTGTGCCTGTAATCCCAGCGACTCAGGAGGCTGAGGCAGGAGAATTGCCTGAACCCAGGAGACGGAGGTTGCGGTGAGCCGAGATCGCGCCATTGCACTCCAGCCTGAGTAGCAAGAATGAAACTCCGTCTCAAAAAAAAAAAAAATAGTTTGGTGTTTTCTCAAAAAGTTAAAAATAGGCCAGGCACAGTAGCTAATGCCTATAACCACAGCACATTGGGAGGCCGAGACAGGTGGATCACTTGAGTCCAGGAGTTCAAGATTAGCCAGGAAGACACAGCAAAATCCCATCTCTACTAGAAATACAAAAATTAGCCAGGCATGTTGGCACACACCTGTAGTCCCAGCTACTTGGGAGGCTGAGACAGGAGGATTGCTTGATCCCAGAATGTGGAGGTTGCATTAAGCTAAGATCGCACCACTGCACTCCAGCTTGGGAAACAGGACAAGAGTCCATCTGAAAAAACAAAAAAGAAAGTGAAAATACAACCCACAGAAAGGAAGAAAATA